GCAATAGCTCCTTAGTGCACAGATTCTTCTTCAGCCTCCCAGGTGCAAATACAGCCCTGCCTAACAGGAGGGGTTTGCTTTAATGCCATGCTTCTTCTCATCTCCATCCTCCACTTGCAGTTACAAACCAGGAGGAATGCTGAAGCAAGTTATAGGCATAAGCCAAAAGGTTGTTGGACTCCAAGTCCTTCATCCTTCTTGGGGAAAGGCAGCAGACCCAGGGTGACCAGCTCCTTCTGTGTGGAGGAGGCAAAACCATGGAGCTGCACCACTGAGCTGTACTGACTGTCTTCTTCAGGTTGCTCCATGAGGAATTTAACCATTCAAACAGACACGTTTCCACCTTCCTCCCTGATGCATGGCCTACAAGATGCAAAACACATAAGAGGTTGCCTGGAAGGGATATTCAGGTGTGAACTGCTGTCATATACAAGCAAGTGATTCATTGAAATTTGCTTTGTGATCTTTACTGTGGTCATTATGCACCACAGTAAGACAGTCGAAGGGGAAAGAACAAAGCTACAAAAACCTGCAAAGAAAAGAGAAATGAGACCAGAGCACCTTCACATTGGTGGGTTGTATGCTAAAGATGGGATTAAAACATAAACCATAAACTGTCATAAACCAGCTCACTGATGAGGCACATTATAATAGCTGTTTTGGGTCATTCTGCATTAAACTGAATATCATGACCCTCATTACAGCCAGAGCACAAAAGCAACAGCATCAACACCTGGTGAAGAAGGCAGTAAAAGCAAAATTGTGACCTTTGAAGAGTAAGGGCACGTCCCACATGGTGATGGGAGGCCTTTCCTTGAAAAGGGTGATTTACTGAGGAGTGTTGGCACTGCCCTGTATAAAATGCAGCATGGATTTCTGCCTCCTCATCTTGGGAAAAGAAGAAATAGTTTTCCAGAATAAAGGTAGAAAGAGAGAGGAGAAAACAATTATTGCCTGTGAAGCAGAACATATGCTACAGCAAAGCTGAACAGCTTTCCATGCAACAGATTCTAGCCAAGCTATTAGTAACACCTGATAAACCCATGATTCCTCATCAGCTACCTGCCAGCAGTGAGCAATTGACTCAATATTATCAATTATGTTCCTTTACCCCCTCTTTCCCTCCCACCAATTTAGCATCTGTTAGTCATGAGAAATAATCATCTTAGAAAACATGGGACAAACAATGAATTTTTGTAATAAAATGGAATATTATTGTAAATAATAATTAAAGTGTTCTGAAATAAGGTGGAGCCATATCATTACCCCAAGGATTTTAAGCACTGCTATTCAGCAAAACTCCCAGGTAAAGGTAAGCTAGTCAAGTCTGATGTCTGATGTATACAGGTGACGTGCGTCAGAAACATCAGCAGCAAGACAGGTTTGGGCAGATCAGGAGTTCTCTGGTCCCATGTCTGTTAAGGCCTGGACCAGCTGCCTTTAATGTAGCTATGTTTTTATTAATCTGCCCCTTCCCAGGCACAACTACCTGTGCAGACACCAGTCCCTGCCTGCGGAAGCCTTCCAGCAGAGGTTCCATTGATGCCCCAGATGATACCTTCTCCCAGTACACTTTAGCTAATCTGTATCTAATTTCCTGCAATTCAAGATCGCTGCTACTTCCTCCAGTCATATTTAATGCAGATAATAGAATCCTCTTTCAACATATCTAAAGACTTGTGTCTTCCTCATGTCTCCCTCTTCTCTTGGAGAGGGATAAGAGCAAGTCCTGGTAAGACAAGGGGTAATGGCTTTAAACTGAAAGAGGGTGCGTTTAGATGGGACATAAGGAAGAAGTTCTGTACTGGGAGGATGGTGAGGTGGTGGCATAGGGTGCCCAGAGTGGCTGTGGCTACACCATCCCTGGCAGTGTTCAAGGCCAGGTTGGACAGGGCTTTGAGCGACCTAATCTAGCGGAAGGTGTCTCTGCCTGTGGGAGGGGTTTGGAGTTGCATGAGCTTTAAAGCCCCTTCCAACCCTAACTATTCTATGATTCTATGAATCACAGAATCATAGACTAGTTTGAGTTGGAAAGGGCCTTAAGATCATGTAGTTCCAATCCCCCTGCCATGGGCAGGGACACCCCACATGAAGCAAAAGTCTGATGAGGAACAGCTGAGGGAGCTGGGGGTGTTTAGTCTGGAGAAGGCTTGGGGGGGACCTTATTGCTCTCTACAGCTACCTGAAAGGATGGAGTAAGGAGGTGGCTGGTCTCTTCTTCTGAGTAACAAGAAATAGGACAAGAGGTAACAGCCTCAAGCTGCACCAGGAGAGGTTTAGATTGGATTTAGGAACAATTTCTTCACTAAAAGAGTGCTCAGGCATTGGAACAGGCTGCCCAGGGAAGTGGTGGAATCACCGGCCCTGGAAGCGTTCAGAAACCATGTAGATGAGGCCCTCAGTGGTATGGTTTAGTGGTGGACTTGGCAGTCTTGGGGTAATGGTTGGACTTGATGATCTTAAAGGACTTTTCCAACCTAGTTGATTCCGTGATTCTATAAGAATGGGAAAATGAGACTTACTGCTCTGTTTCCTTTGAACAAATGCTTCCACTACTTATGACTAATGGGCAGTTGCCCATTTGGTTGGTGGCTAGAAGCAGTAAACCAGCCAACACCTGCAACTGTACAACCTTCTAGAACAGCCATCTATTCTGGCAGCCTTGGCTGAGGGACTCTTGAGAGTTTAATTGAGCTTCTAACAGCAAGCACAGAGGCATCAAATGGAAGGGCAAGTGTGTACCCATCAAACTTTGAACCATATTTAATAGCTTCTTACCAAATATGTAATTACATGTTTTTCCCTAAACACTGGAACCATGTTTCAAAGCAGGCTACAAAGTTCACCTCTGCATCCAGAAGACTTGGCGCAACTTAGCCCCGAACTTCCCAGCTAAGACTTGTTGGTCATTTCTTAGCAGAATGGATCATGTCTTCCTAATGGCCAGAGGGGTTACATGGCATGAATCAGGAAAAGCACAGGATTGAAGCACAGGCCAGTTACATCCAGTCCTTCTCTGCCCCACCCGAACATTTATCCTTCCTGTAAAACTACAGAGACTAGGTGCTGTTTCTTTCAACTTGCTTCACTAACTGAATCTAATTTATCTGCCTTTCTTTGCTTGGAGGATTGGTATGTGAAGATGCTAATTAATCGCCTGTACTGCTTTATCATCCTAAAAGCTTAGTGCCCATGGATCTGCAGGTACTGACTGGACTGCTCAGGGAAAAGACATCTAATGTACAATACACTTTTGGGACTAAGATCTCAGGTCCTTGTAATGTAATCCTTATAATGGCAATAATGAAGGTGAAAACCACTGAGTTACCTCTGAACATCCTGTCCCCAGACAACATTGATCAAGGCTGCCGAACTTTATTCCAGGGAAGAGGGAAAACGGGGAACAAAACACTTTCCCATCCTGAAAGTCAATAAAACAAATCAACAGAATCATTTACTTCAATAGCAATTTATTATAATTAAAAGTAACAAGTAGGTTTAAATCTTTTTTTTTTCTTAAAAATCTAGTATAACACACGTCTGCTACAGTTCTATGAAACCTATGGCAAAATTGTATCCCCAAATCACACCATTCTGCCTCATCCTCACAGGCATCAGTGATGTGGGACACAAAAAAAACAGAGAAATCGCTCTACACAGCACTTCTCACAAGGATAAGAATGACCATTAGGCCTCAAAATGCTACAAGTTATTCTGTAAGAGCTATTAAGTGTAACTTAAGTTTTCTCCTTTGTTCATATTGCTGGAAAAATCAAATAACTCACACAGTTTTTGGTGAAGCTGTAAGAATATTTTACGAACTGTATTTCCCCCTCTTCTTTGCTACTAAAGTTTTCTTTTTTTTTCTTTTCTCCCACTTGATGAGACAGCTGCCCCCTTCCAGGTAACAAATCTGCAGTGATGTTTGCAGTCACTCTCCACACAACTTGGCATATTTCCTTCACATTCTGAAGACAGTGCTCAGCTCTAGCACTTAACCTTTAACAGTACTGAGGAACAACCTGGCAGCACACTTCTCAGGAATACTACATGCTCATATATTAATTTCCAGCTTCATGGGAGCTCTACAGCTTAAGTTAAGCTCCAGCTAAGTACTCAAGATAGCTAACTTACTTACAGCTAGCTCAGATCCATGTAAAGCAGCAGCAGCCAGATGCTGTAGGACAGATGCATCTTCACGTCACAGCTGTTCACAGAAGCCCTGAGCAAGTCATAGTACTGTTCATCAGTGGCTTGGAGGACCCAAAAAAAAAGTATCCACATGCAAGCACACATACTGCTGAAAAGGAAGGATGTTCCTAATTTTCTCAAGCATTTAATGTGTTGAATGTAAGCTTCAGTGTTAGTCAATATTCAAAAATAAGCAGAAGCTCATGAGTGAAACCTTTCTGGCTAGCAGAAACGTAGTGAAGGAAGGAACAGAGCACAGGTAAATTACAAAAAAAAAAATGTAGAAGCCACTCAGATGTGGCTTGCACATGCTTTCAGGTACACAAGAAGGTTTGTTCTTCAGGAGCACATCCCTTAGGTAGATATATCATAGAATCATAGAATACTTAGAGCTGGAAAGGACATCTAGTTTCAACCCCCCTGCCATGGGCAGGGACACCTCAAACTAAACCATGTCACCCAAGGCTCTGTCCAACTTGAACTGCCAGGGATGGAGCATTCAAGACTTCCTCGAGCAACCCATTCTACTGCCTCACCACCCTTACAGTAAAGAACTTCCTCCTTATCTGCATGAACTTCACAGTAGCTTGTGGAATTGGGAAGCTCAGTGGAAGCAAATCAGTAAGCAGCTTCACATACATCTATATCCACTCTGAACTTGGAGAGTCATGGAAAAAACCATAAACACAATCATAGGATAGACATATGGAGGAGATACTAGATCAACAAACTCTAGGAACAGACTCCAGTTGTACTTCAACAGCAGTTCACAATCTTATCTAAGCAGACATACAAGTTAAACTCCAGGAGAAAATATGGTGTTAAATTTACTCAGTTAAAACTTTTTTTGAGTTTGCTGTCAGCTGGGTATCTTGGGGAATAAAAACCAAAACCCAAACAATGCTTACAGCAAAACTGCAAAATCCTGTCATACCTAACATCCTAAACTATTATCTTGCTTTGTGAATGTACCTAACAGTTTATGAACATCCACACTTACTCAATAATACTTTAATAACTTCTGAGCTGGCCACTAAACCATCCATACAATAGCAATGCCAACACAAAAGGAAAAGCCCAAATAAGATGCTTAATAACAGTTTGCCAAACCAAATAGCATTCGCCTCCAAAAAATGCCATTTTCTGTTTTGCTCTCCTCCTTCCACCCGTGTTTCACTTCCTGTTTCCCCTCTTGCCCATCTCTAACAAGCAGCCACACAGGCAAACACAGAAGTTGTGAAAAGGTCCCTTTCATTGTAAGTCTCATCCCATGTATGTAAGCACACAAGGATTCACCTGTCTAATCACTGTCTTTCAAGTACGCAGGAAATTCAAACAAAATGGCTATTACCATTCCTCTAACTAAAACGTACACAGACCTATGGTATCTTTGACTTTTCTACTGGTATTAATTTCTTAAAATGGAAATACTTTCAAATGACTTCTGTAGCTATGATAGCCTATATTCAAATTCACTATGGAAAATAAAGATCAACTTTAAGGATAATTAATAACCTGGTATTTTTTAAAATATTTCTAGTATTTTTTTGTGGTCCCTTATCACAGACCATTTTCAAGCTAATTCAGAACCCACGCTACCCACATCCAAATCAACCAACTTAACCAACCAAACAAGGAAACCCCAACTGAAAACCAATTACCCCAATATCTAAGTTGTTTAATACTTGCATTGCAGAAAGTACATTCAGGTAAAGTTCTGTAGTGTAAACATACAGTTCTGACTTCTTTTCTTCAACCACTATTTAAAATCCGAGAGTTCTTTCTATTGGCTAAATACTTAAATGCAATTACAGGAATGAAAACTCCCACTTCAGATACACTGCACTGACCCAGAGCAGCATAAACCCCCTGCTTTCAAGATACGTACCTACCACATAAAGAAGCCTGAAGAATAAAATCATGCTCCCACTTAAAAACAGAGCACTAACCAGTGCATAAAATTAGTTACTCTATCTAGATCAAATACTGTGTGTATTCCCAAATATAAAAATAAAATTGTACAAATTGCATGCAACTGTACACAGTGCAGTTCAAGCAATACTGAGTGAGGTGTTCTCCTTGTTTTTGTGAAGCATGTGGACAATAGCAAACTGCAGGGTGGTAACTGTAATGCAGTCTTTGGGTTTCTTCTTCCACAGCGACATACAAAGCTATTGTTATTTTAAAAGACTCTAGCCCACAACAGGGAGACTTTAAAAAAATCTAGCTGTGAAAACTGTGCTGTGAAGAATTGCTGGATTTTCTTATATATGTCCAGATTACCCAAATGCACTTTTCATTAGAAGTCCTTTACTAGAACTCCTTTTTCATAAACCACACACCAAAAAAAAGGTACTTTCTGTTTTGATTACATACAATTGTTCACCAGGTGGAAGAAGAGGAAGGTAGCTTATTATACCAGAAATATAACCTCATCTTATGAAGCGTATATAGTATACGTAATTAAAGGGTCCAGTGAAGCATCACCACATACGAACCCTTCATATATAAGATGACCAGCTATGAAGTTGTAACTACTGAAACTGTACACAGGTGCCTTGGTAAACCATACTTATGTTACATCCCACAACTGCCTCTGCTTTGGGGTAATTTTTGTCCATTTCATCTATTCAGCCGCTGTGTTACCACTTCCCGGTACATGATAGAGATATATATCAGCAGAAGAAAAATGACAAAGAAATCATCCAAGAAGCCCAGAATTCCAAAGAGAGCTTCAGGAAGAAAATCCAGAGGTGAAGCCAGGTAAAGCAAGGCTCCAAGCAAGCAGAGGAATATTCTGATGCGGAACATCCAGAAGAGGCCCCCAACGGAAAACATCTCCCTGAAAGCATGCCGCAATAAGGTGGGCAGATCCATAATTCTTTCCATAATCTATAATAGAGAAATCAAAAGTTAGTATTTTGCTTTAGCAACAGATCCATGCTAAATTTGTCTTCAGTTAGTCTGAAGTTTCTATTACTATGTTACAGCTTTGCAATCTGTTAGTTTGTAAGAATTAAAACCAAAACCAAACAGTAAAACAAGACTTCCTGGATTTAGTTTTGCTGGATAAAAAGTCAGATTTAGAATATATATGTTTTCAAGGAACAGTGAAATTGTGTAATTCTATACCATAAAACATACATTTAACTTACTGCAAAATACATTGGCATCTATTAAAAAGGAAAAGCAGTGACTACTAGAGCAAACCAAATGACTCAGAAAGTGAGTACAGGTTAACTGTAGTGAAATATTGATTAGAATGGAAGACAATTAGGGATTGCAAGAAAAAAATAACAGGTGAAGTACAATAGGTTGCAGTTCTTTAGAAACTCACTCCCCCGTCCCTGGCTTATAACCAGTGATTCACATAACATTCCAAAAGATGGATCAGCTTTCGAAGTAAATTAAAGAACCTTTAAATGAATCCATTCCCGCCTCCTTTCCATTTTACTACTATGATTCTGTATCTGACTACTCAGTAGAAAATATTCACATTTTTGTTGTGTGTCTTTTTTTTTTATACTGGTTCCTTTGCCTACTCTACAGAGTTTCTACACAGAGCCATGAATTAAAAAGAGTTATTGGCAAGGCTGCAAAAATTCTCAAGAAAGGAATTTTGTATGTGGTTAAGGCAACACACCGTGTATAAATCAAAGACAATTTATCTAGTCTGATTAGGGTTTTAATGCAGACTTCTGCCATGACCTCAGACAGGTGACTGGGGAGTAGACACAGAGCCCACAGAAAGGTCTAATGGAGCCTGAAAGGTAGTTTCAACTATTCTGTATCAAAAGTATAACTGTTTTGTGGTTTAGAATGTGAAAAAAAAAAAAATCCACCTTGTACCTCTTATGTCTCATTGGATTATAGATTTTTCTTGCTAATGTTTTCTTACTATATCCAAATTTGATGAACAGACGTAGAGAAGTAGGGGAGTTACTAGTATGCGAGTGCATGCATTTTACCTTGTGGATAAGAACACGCACATAGAAGACAGGCTCACCAGACTGATTTTGTAAAGTTCATAGAACTTCAACCATTTCGTTTAGCTATTTATAAAAAAAATATCCTGTTTTCTTCACTGAGGGAGCAGAATAAAGACTGTAAAATCTGAGGAAGAGCAGAACTTCAGATTCTTCTAACTGATGTAAAGAGATCAATCAAATGAATATTCTTCCTTATATGCCACGTATTTCAATAAGCATTTTTACTGACTAATCCTTTCAAAGTTGTAATTAAAAAAGTTCTTAACACATAAATTGGGAACTCAAGGCTTACTAGAAGTTCTCACTTGCAACAAAAATGGAAGTTTCCATACTTTTCACATGGGTCATAGGTTTGCCTTAATTATATAAATACGAATTTCCATAGTCCCTTAGCATCGTGAAGAGAAAATTCATAAGGGGGGGCGGGAAGGGTTGGGGTAAAGGGAAAAAAAAAAATCACAAAAAATACTGTTAAACTTCCTTAAAATCACTGACTTCCACCCAAATTTACCCCAAACTTACAGATCTGGGCTGTCCTGAGAACCTCCGATTGTAATCATTAACATCTTGAAATACTTGGGCTGCATCCTGCTGATCTTCACTGAAGAGCGGTAAAAACAATGTTACCTAGGCACAGCAGGGAGATTTTGTTACACGTGCAACTGACTTCTAAATGCAGACATTGTAAACTACCAATGAAAATGGTAAACTTCGGTTAACTACACAGTTCTTTAGTTGAATATTTAGTAGCAAAATAAAATGCAAAATGACTAACATGGATACTGCTGCTAAGTTTTAACAAATTAATTGCTTACAACTCTCTACACAATATTAATTTTTTAAAAAAGATTGTTAATAACAAGCATAAGAACCCTCTTTCTAAGATGGGATTACAGGAAATTTCTCTAAACACCTAAGTTTTTTATGTTTCAGAAGTGGGACAGATGATTTGGATGAAAAAGTTAATTTACCAAATTAATCTAGTTTTGTGTCTTAAACTGAAAACCAAATAAAGAAACTAATGGTGCCATTCTTCTTCCATCTTTAGAATGGCCTTGCATTTCAGGACACAAGCAGCAAAACTCATACTTTTCCACATGGGCATTCAAACCAAGACCAAGGAGAGTAATAAAGAATAATAAACAGGAAAAGATTTTAACCATCAGCTCTTTTGTAAGCACAGAGAATTCTTCTATGTCCTTGAGCTAATTTTCATGTAAACATAGAAAAACATGTACGGTCATATTCACGTGTATCTTATCTTACCTTTCTGCATAGGAGTTTCTGAAAACACTTGCATTTAGAAGTAATGTTCAGGTATCAAACAGATTATCACAGGAAACAGTTGAAATTATTACGATCTTCAAAAACACCTGGCCACTAAATATTTATCTTATATCTGTGCAGCAGTCACATTTAGCAAATGACACCATGGGCAGATCTACATTCAACTCCTAGCCCTGCCTTCTGCCTTCAACAAACCTTCTGTATGACTCACACTGTTCATGTGTACGTACTTCTATCCCCTATTAATAAATCAGACCTGACTTCTCCTATGTCACAGAATGAAAATGAATGCATAACTGTGCCAGCAGTACCACCCAATTTACCTGTTATTCAGAGGAGGATAGAAGAATATCTACATAAGGCCACAAGCACGCACACACACAAATCATTTATTTTCCCCTTTTCCATCTTCATCATCTTTATTTTTTGTGTCCCTTACCTCACTGGCTAAATTCTAAACTTACTCATTCATCCTGAAGTCATACCTATCTTTTCTCTGTGTTCATACTCATTTGTCCCGCTAATACACACAATTAAAGCAGGATATAATGTACGGGCAAGGGCATCAGGCATGTTATATAATTCATCAGAAGGTACTAGCTCTGTAGTTTTGCACTTAAAATAAAGATGTACTTTATTTTATACATATATAGTGTATATTTTGTTAAAAGATACATTCTAAAACTCAGAGATCCTATGTGTTAATGAGTTGCAGGGACATATTTCAAACTGACAATGTAAGTAAGTTGTGTAGGAAGTTAATGCTTGCTCTACAAAGCTCATATTAATAATACATACAAACTAAAAATAGGGACAAAATAAGAAATTGGTGGGGTGAGTTTTTTTGGTGGGGAGAGAAGGATGGGAGAGGGTACTTCTGAGAAACCAGTAGTATACTGCCTATTGGCAGTCTTCCACAACAGCCAGGTCTTTAAGTTGCAAGTTCTGGTAATGAAGTTATGTAACATCCAAAACAGAAAGCATGGAAAAATCATAGTTAAGATCTTATGACTTTATGTTTTCATATACTCCTTTACAGAAAAATGGCTGAGTTATCAGTGCTGCTCACTTAAATTTGAGCTGCAGGAACAATCTGCATTTTTTAAAGCCACTTGGCAAAGCAAAGTGTTGTACGAACAAAATAATGTCCACCATCTATGTCTCACATATCCATATTCTTTCAGCTTCTCGGCCTTCTGTCAGTCTCCATACTGCAGTTCACATGTGCTTTTTTGGTAAGCTATACTAGACAGCCAAACTATCAGGTCCATGATTACTTAAAATATTACCGTTTGTCTGCAGATCGGGCAACGGATGGCACCAAGCCATGAACCATACCTCCAGTAGGCAATAATGCAGGAGCCTGATGGAGGTAAGTTACAGACATTTAAACTTCTGAGTTGAAACACACACTGCATGAAATAGCATGCTACACACCAAGGGAAAAAACAGAAGTGTATAAGCAGTTAGGTTAAATCTATCTTTGCTGGTATAATTTTGTACATAGCGTTCACTGAAGATACCAACAACCAATATGCTCAAATTGAGTGCTCTTAAGTGCAGAAACATTCTGAATAGGTTCAATTGCATTATTAAAGTATCATTTCCTGAAAAGACAGACGACTTCTTAATCATTAACTGAAGAAGCAAATAATTAAAAATTTGACCAGTTTAACATTTAGAAGTCACAGAAATATCAAGAGATACGAAATTTATCATAAAAGACTCGCTTTATTATAGGAGTTTTAGTGGATGAACGAATATATAAAAATATGAATACTTCAACTATTTTCCAAATTTGTAAATTCTTTTGTTTAAATGACTAGCATGGTATGCATTATATACTCCATAAAACCAGATGAACGCAGTTAAAGAATCCTCCTGGGAACACAAAGAAGAGGCAGCAGCTACACAGGGCATTTATATATAAATTTGAATCACAGGCCCCAAAGAAAGAGGCAAACACTTTAAGCATTGTGAAGTCAGCCTTAATTCTTCAGGACTTCCAAGAAAGAAAACCCAACACTCTGAGAAAAATATAACACCGAGCAGAATTTTTTACTGTTTCTAAACTGCTTCTTTTAAACGGTGCATTTCCAAGTGTTTTTCAGCATCTCCATTTTTTTACTAACAAATTACACTCTCTGCCCTTGACATCTTTAAATGAACTGTGGGTTCAATCCTGATAGCACAGAAAAACAGCACATTCTCAATCTGTTTATTCACAAATAAATTTTCTCAGCAATTTATGTAAAAATTATTTCTAATGCACATTAGAAGATAAGCAGCTAAAATCAAACAAAACTTTGCATTGAGGTGACTATACTAGTGCTAAAAGTTTGTGTTTCTGTTCTGGTTTTATTTTTGCAACTTGGTTGTATTTTATTTTGTTTTTCTTGCTTACCACAGAAAAGGTGTCCACAGTTTGTTTCTATAGGAAATGTAGCCTGCTGCAAACAGACTGGACAGGACATATCTGTATAGAAGCGAAGTCTATCGTCGGCAGAAGCATCCTGCTGGAACACAACAGAAACGCAGTGTTAGAGATACCATTTTTATACGTGTCTACGGAGTTAAAAAAACCCCAAAATCTAGTGTTCATTCACTAGAAGTCAAACAATCAAATGCAAAACTATGTGAAAGAGAAACATATCTAAATAAAAAATTAAACATAATTAAATGCAAAAACTGATACATTAGGCCAGTTCTTCTTGTGACAAGCCCATTATTTTCCCTTCATCTGTCCTGTAAGTGTGTGCTTCAATCCAGTTAAAGACCACAGGGAAAGAACCTCCTTGGTCCTTCACATTGTTAGGTTAGACATGCTGACACATGAATAACAACTCAGATTGAGACTTGTACCTCGTTACCCTAAGTAGTTCTGTCCAGAGCCAGGTAACTGAACTGCATTGCTGCCAGTTGCAATATTCAGTGTTCCCAAGCTCAAGGACAGACATCAGCTTGTGTATGTCAATGCCATGAAATATATTTTCTCTCAATTTTGCCATATTTACTTTCCACAGAAATAGGCACTGTAGTTAAAAATCTGTCATTATTTCAAGAAGTAATATGATGAAAGACTCTCCTCAATACTTTCCAAAATATGGCTTGTCACTCTCAGGCTGGCACTTGGCAAATTCCAGTAACCTGGCCTAGACCCACCCATCCTCTCCTCTACATGTCAGAATCGGATGCAGTTATGGAAAGGGTTGAGCCTTGAAGGATCTTTAAAAACCATGTAGTCCAAATTCTCTGCCATGGGCAGGGACATGTCACTACCTTAGGCTCTTCAAAGTCCCATCCAATCTGACTTTCAGTTTAAAAACCCTGCTCCTTGTCCTGGCAGTAAAGGCTTTGGTAAAAGTTTCTCTCTGTCTACCTTTGCTCACTGGCTCTTATTGCTGTGCCACTGTTCTGCTACACATAGGTTATCAGTGTAAACCTTTAACCCCTGTCCTGTGACAGCAAGCTGTATTCCAGATTTCCTTTCCTGTTACCACTAAGGCCCCAGGAACATTGAGGAATCGTACAACATAATCTAACATACTCCACCTTGTGGCAAAAACTTGTCTGCAAAAAGAGCCAGCCGAATATTTAATTTTAATTACTTATTGTTTTAAAAAGCCTATGTTATTTCATTACTTGATAAAGTTCAGATGCATCTGTACAGTAAGTAAGCTTCCACAACTTTCAAGACCAGCTTCTTCCAGAACCTCAGAGAAGTCTACACTACCCAAAAGGAGAGAGTTAAATGACGCCAACATTTGGCACAACACCTGCTCTGTTTGAAGCTGCTGACGAAGAGCTCGCACTAGCTCTTGATTTTCTGGGTGTATGTTCTGATGTTCATTTCTGTGAAAGGAAATACAAGCAATAAGAAAAACTGAACACTGTGACCCAACATTGAAAAACAACTGATTGGAAAAAAAAAAAAAAGGAACTTGAACAAAGGGTAAAAATCATTCCTTCCTGCTATAAAGGATTGTAAAGGAAATACACAAATAATTAAGGAAACAGGACATTTATTCTAGATCCTAAAGTTATTCTGGACATTTAAAGCTGTACAGCAGCATGACTTTTCAGAGAGACTCCATAATCAATCATTAAATCATGTTTAAACTAGATTTTAATTTGAAACAAAATCAAGCTATTAACATGCAAAAAAATAATGTTGCTTGAAATTTTTGTATTTACTATGCAAAAATATTTTGTCTCTGTTGCTAAATTTTTAATTGTTGGTCTACTCATAAATTTCTTAAGTTTTTCAGTCATTCCCTAAGTTACAATATTGAAAAATCCTAATTATTTCATCTGCTGCATGAAAGATAACGACATAACGTTTACATAAGAAGGGGTAGGCAAACTCTTAGATTTAGAATGTTGAATTTATGTAACTATCAGCAGACTGGATATAAAAAGAAATCACTCCTTTTAAATCAGTCTTTAAAAAGACTCTATAGGCTCTGAGACTCTAACATGAAGAAAACTTCAGGTTAGAGGTGCCAAGGGGAATCACAGCAAAGGGACTCGTTGAAGAGAGAAGGCTGGATACAAGTTTGAAATTCAAAAGCACAATGGGAACAGAATTAGAATTTAAAATTATGGTAACAAAATTAAGAGGTGTTGAGTTATAATAAATGAGTCAATAGCATCATATTCAAAACTGTGAAAACTTTTAATGCTTTATTTATTCATATGTATTTCAAAGGTGATACATTCTCCTCAGCACTGTTGAGGTCTCAGCTGGATTCTGTTTTCCATTTTGGGCTAAATGCATAAAAACATGTAGCGAAGTTGGAGGAAGTTCAGAAGAGAATAAAAGCTGCTGCCCACATTTTTTAAACATTTCAGAAAGAGTGAAGAAATGTCAGTTCATATAAAGACTGCTCATGGAGAAAAAAGGGGAGAGGATAAAGCTTTTATTCTATAAATATGAGCAATTATTTCCCACAGTTATCTAAGGCTGGTGGAAAAACATTTCTAACCACGAAGTGTACAAAATCATAAAAGGTTACCTCAGGGTATTGTGATCTATCTTCAACTGAAAATTAAATCAAAAATCAGGTTGCACTGTTTCGAGGGATGATCTAGAAAAGTTGATCCTTTGTCAGAACTGAGGGCTGGACTGAATGAATTTTTAGGATATTTTCTGGTTGCAGTTCTATTTACGTAATTTCCTCCACAGCTCTAGCAACTTCTGCAATATTTTCCTTCATTTGATGTGGGCAGTCATAATACTGCCTAACTGCTATCTTTAACATTTGGTGTCCTTCATTCTTTCTTCAGAGGAACAGATAAACCCCATATTTCTAATGCTAATAATACACATTTATCTGTAAAGAGTAAATTTATTTAACGCTAATGTGGGTGACATATATGGAAGTTACATGACCGGAATCTTACATTAAAACCCTTCCTGCTCATCTTGTGTCTCCGTGAGTCAGACTTTGTGGATGCTGTCTGTCATTCATGTTATACGTATGAAAGTATTTTCCTGTTCAGATGCTACAGATTAGCATATTTTTCACCTTCAGTTTGCCAGGACTTTGATACATATTGAAAATTCAATTAAAATCACACACAATAGCAAGTGTGAATTATAAGCCAGTTTATTTTGATTCCTTCACAAACAACTTACAGCAAATTTTCTGCGAAAGTGTTCATTTTATACTATGTTGAATACATGATAAAATTTGTAGAGCTGTAGAGGTACAGTATGCACAATATCTGTCACTTAAATGTAAGATGCTGAGGTAGTGAACACTGTGGAGTGTCCAGGAAGGGACAGCACAGGTCAAGACATATCAAATTCATAACTTCTGTTATTCAATTAGTGTGAGAAAATAAATCAAATAAATTAAAACCAGTATGGTTTTATGTAATTAAAGGCATTACCAATGCCAGAAAGAAATAAAGTTAGATGTGGAGTCTTTTATTTTCCCCATTTTCAACTGTTAGCACGTAAAAGGACATAATTTTTCCATGATGTGGAAAAACATAGTATGTATCACAAAGAGCCCCACCAATCTATAATTACAAGGAGGAAGGCTGCCTGAATGATCAGTGTGCAGTTTCACACAGGAAAAGTGAGGGACAGTACTCATGGAGACTGGTGTATTACTGTGCAGTGATGGCCATTGTTAATTTCCAAGGATTAAGATCTCAATTTTGCTCAAAGTACCAATTTAATCTTATAATGAAACCATTTGATGGAATAGAAATTAAGAGAAAAAGTTTTAAACCTGCAGATACATAAACATGGGTTGGGTAAGTCATCTGGGACAACTAAGGAATCCCTGATACAAAGCACTGGAGGGTCAAGCTCCCTTTAATTTGTTTGATAAATTAAATTTTCACAGTCTCATTGGTAATGTGACAACCTACCCACAAGCTTAAAAGATGATGGAAAAAGCTAGCTGCATTTTATGGAAATTTCTAAGTCAAAGACATACAGGCTTTGCAGAAGTATCTTATAGTGACTGAACTAAACGTCTACAACTTGGTATATATGTTAATTACTCTTAATAAGTTCCTCCACCAAAAGGAGAGAGACCTTCGCTTAATAGGTCTTTCCACATTTCACTTCTGTCCCCTAAAATCCACTGCAACCTACACTCCTTGCTGCCTACTTGAAGTTTTCATTCAGTTCCTACAACCTTATTCACTACCCTAAGCCTTCTTTCATGTATTTTTATCCAGGACCTATTCCTACCCAACTTAAGTATTTCAGATGTCACATACTGAAGTATGGGCTGGCTAGAGATCGGGGTAACGGACGCAGTGTAAGGAATACAGAGATCACTGTATTGCCTAACATAACTAGAGAAGAAAAAGGAAACACAAGTTACAAATGCTAAAAATGTCAATATCAGGGGTAAAAAAATTGTAAGAGCAGAGCAAAAAAAAAAAAAAAAAAAAAAAAAGGAAATTTTGAAGCCATCTGAATAACTGAAACAGCGTTGGAAAGAAAAGCAAGGTGAAGTTCATATGCTTCTCCTAGATTCCTTTGATATCTCCTGATCCTGAACAGCAGCACAGCCCTGCAGCCCAACCAAGCATTCACACTCTGATTTGTTCTGTAGCTTGCTCTCAAATACCTCCTACTTGGCAAAGACTTACTTTCCCAAAATATATAAGCTAAGGAATTTGTCAAGTTGAAAGGAAAAACTCTGAAATGAAAACCAGTTTGATTACTTGATCATTACAGTTACTGAATTTAGACCTTAATATTTTGCTTTATGGAAAGCATATTATAGCCCACTGTTTTCCAACATATTATTTTATAAAATGAATCAGACAATTTATTAATGTTTGGGGTTTTGTTGAGGTCTTTTCTATGGAAGAAGGCTGCAACTAGAACATATGTTGGTAGATTATATCCAGTCTTGTGGAGTGACTACTGACAAATATGTCCGTCCATTGAAACCAAACATGACACACACACCAGCCATACAAACTGTAAATTCAGCCATCTTCAGTCTTAAGGAATGATGAGTATTATTCAGTTTGATCATCTGAAGAGTTAAACTTCACGTCTAAGAATGCATCATTTCATTCTACCTGAATTAAATAATGAAACTCTGCCAAGCAATCAGAGTAAGTGATCAATCATTTCCTTAATATCAAAAATCACAGTTGTTTTATATACTAATATAAAAAATTGTTGAGAAAGTTAGAAATTTACAGAAGCAGATATGTTGATTAATTCCTGTCAACATAATCTCACCTTAAAAGTGTATACACCAGAGCAGCAATGAAAGTGAAACTGAGCACAACTGCCACCAGTACCTGGTCACTTATTCCTTCTATAACTGAATCATTATCAAGCTTCAAACTCTGAACTTCTGCTTGGTGACTGGCCATCACAGCTCTAAAATGTAGAAAGAAATATATACATGTACATATACATATATACATTAAAATATACATACGCTTATGTGCATTTTAAACATAGTTCCAAATAATATGCATAAACATCTATTCATAGAAACAATAAATTCCTAAAGCAACAGAATAGTCACTGGGGAAAAAATGGTAAAAGAAAAGGGAACAGATGCATTTTTACCAAACACTGAAATTGCTGCAGAGGGCTGCAAAGCATTTGTCTAGCCCAGTATCACACAAGTCTTAAATGACTATGCTGTGATCTAAAGACATTTTTTTTTAAACCTCAGTCAGATTCTTTCCCTGGGAATCTTTACCAGATAACTTGCCCAGGAATAGGTTACTGCTGAATAAGACATATTCTAAGGACAGCTCATTTTAAAAAAGCATAACGACTCTGCACTATCAAGGATTTTAGCTATTATACAACACATGATTTCTGCTAAACTGAGACAATGTAGAAATCTAATTTGCACCACTTCTGTGAAGAAAAAAGCAAGGACATTTGGGGGTTAGCTGTTTTATAGAGTGTTAAGCACCCATTTGGATACAGAGGAATGATCTGATGCACTATTTTATGTGTCTTTGCTATGCATAACCATTCTACAGCTGGAAACATGAGAAAAACTTGTCAAACAGAGTCTTATCAGGCCTCCCTAATTAGACTAGTTTGGTTTATATTCATTTCACATATGCAAAAATCAGAATGCTTTGCCAGTGCTAAGATTTATTAATCTCCAGCATTAACCTACAGCTGGAAACAAGCAAAATAAAACAGTTTCCAACACTGCTAAATCACTCCTGTTGCAATCAGGAAGTGAAATGAACTACAACTGTGAATATTACGAAACCAGGAGAGTGAAGCTAACTCTGGCAAATGACCAAAAAGTCATATCTAAACTGTGTCCATACACAATCAAAGTACTTTTCATACAGAGCTAACATAAAATCTCAGCATCAATTCATGAGGTCAGGTAAGACGGGTATCACTTACTTTACATCCTAGTCCAGTGCGTGTACATAAGCTTGCAAGCTTTCATCAGTGTTTCTCTCTGCTTCACAGCTCACGTGTAATTTTTTAATTTGAACGTTGCTGTCTAGCAAACAACACCAGACACTGTGGCCTTAAATTAACTGCAAAACTGAAATGGAATACAGGTCTTCAGGATTTTAGTGGATATCTGTAATGACTACCCTGGCAAGATTTCAATATGCTAGTCTACTGCTAACATAGAAGTGTCATCTTTTTATCATATTTTCCATATGATAGTTATTCTCACTCTCCAGATCTTTTCTTGTATGAGCTGTGGAGCTTTTTCCAAACTTCCTCACATTTGTGGGAGCTGCCCTCTAAAGCAGCAATGCAAGAGAAAATGGCATATTTTAACATTATTGTAAAAAAAGATAAATGGCATAATTAAGTACCATAAGAGTAGAGAAAACTCATGGAAAACAAAGGGTAGATTCCTTTAATTGTAGTTGTACTTTGGGGCTTCCATGGTGAAAATAAAAATGAAAAGATGAAGCATATGTGAAGTGCAACAAACTAAGTTATCTTCAGTGTCCCCATCTGAGCTGATATTATTACTTCTGTAACTATAGTCATAATTTTTGCTAATTACATCTTTCCATAAGCAACTGTGTCACAGTGTAACTACTGTAATGTCAATTAATATTTAGAGAGAGTAAATTCTCTCAAAGGTGAAATACTAGTGTACTCTGTTTAAAGTAGGTCAATATTGACACAGGTTTCACAGACACTTACATGTATGTGTTCATATATAACGAGAAAAAGATCAGATCTTTGCGGAAAGGTCTTACATAGGAACTAGAGCTTATGCCAGAAGTTGTAGCATTTGTCTAGGTAGCTAGTTACGAAATTATGTTGCTGTAGTTAAATCCATGAGGCTAAGGTGTTGTGGAGGTTTCCTGAACAGCAGTTCCTTCATACTGAGGATCTGGACTGGTAGGTGTGCTCAACATTCCCAACCCATATACTTGGTTTCTTTGCATATCCAAAGAATATGGATTTTTATAATACATCATTCTGAGACTCTCAGTTTCCACAACTGTATCTCAGGCAGAACCTTCAACTTCTGCACTTTCTCTCCTTAAGTACCATCATCAGCCCACTAATTTCTGCTGCGTTACACTGCCATTTCTGGGTTCATCACTCAGAACAAGAAGAAAATGGCAAGGAACTGGTATGTGATGATTTTTCCACTGTCCTGCATCAGCTGCGTTTGACTAGACCAACATGCTAATAACAACTATATCCCGTTAAGTACTATGCATATGTTTTTGGGGTTTTTGGTTGGTTGGTTTGGTTTGGTTTGATTGATTTGGTTGGTTGGGTGTTTTTTTGGTGTTGTTTTCGGTTTGGGTTTTGTTTTTGTTTTTTTTTTTTTTTCCAGAAATACACATGGTGGTAGAGACGCACAGATAATTTAAATGGATGTTTGGAAGACAAGTGTATCTCTGTGTACACTGACACCTGAAAGGCCACCTGTGTCACTGCTTGTTTGGAGCACTCTGAATTGGTGCACCCATAAATTGTCAGTATCACCCAAAGAAAACTCAATTTCCTTGAACAGCCTTCAAGACATCCACTCTCTTTCACACTCTCCAAGTTCCTTGCAACAACACTCTTAATCCTTATCTACCTACCATCAATAGCACTCACTACATCTTCTCACGTGCTCTTAAAATAGCATACCATGGCGCCAAGCTTAGCAGCAGAATAAGAAATGCACACATGATCGCCTTCTCTTCCTTCCTGCACATAACCCCTGTTATTTGTATTTACTTTGCACCTTGACTTACCACATACGACTTTTTCAATAATAATTTTCACATAAACGTAGTGTCCATAAGAAATTCATGCAGTCTTTCTGGCATGGCACTCCTCAAACACTTTGACTTCTCTTAGGTATCAATATTGCCAAGGTGTGTAGAGGGGGGAGTGGAAGTCCCTGGGAATTCCCTGAAGCTGGGAGTCTGGCTCAGTCCCTCCCCCAGCTGCTTCTATTACTATGTTCTATAGAAGACAGGCTACCGATGCTTAAGGCTCACAAGTTTTAATTTACTTGCTGCTTATGGACAGCCAACAAATACTAAGCATATTGCCCTTATTACCTGTAGCACTATTTTCTGAATCGGGCCATTGCGCAGGAGGGCTGACATGAATGATGTAGGCTAGGAACTACAAACAGAAGGGTTTCACTTCAAAAAGATCACTACATACTTTTTCAGAATAGTCATTCAAGACTCAGTAGAGGCAGCTGCAATCTCCTCCCACTCTTGTCTCTGGGTCAGCATGTGAAAAAAGCACCAGCTACAAGAACACTGCTGAAATACACTATTTGATGATTGTCTGTCTGAAGGAGGAAGTAATTTTCTGATTTCAAGTCTGTTTTGAACATTTTCACAAAAAATATCTAGAACTGCAAGCTTGCACCTATTTCTTCAGGTGCAACCACAACAGCCCATGAACACATCTGCAGTTGTTTGAATAGACCAGATAACAGTTCTAAAACGGCTGTTAAGGAATCTTGCTTCCCAATGCATGTGTTTAGCAGGGTGCTCTTTCAGCTGGTATAATTAATAAGCGAGGTACAGTAGACTAATTCTTCAAGATTGTACAGAAACCTTTCAGTCTTCAGAGACAACCAGTACTGACAAGGACTAAGCGTATGTCAGAAAAGACTTCTAGAACCAGACTTCATCATAGACATCTCATCTCTCCTAACATAATAACCAGTAATAATTTGATGGTGGTCTGTATTAAATTCAACTTTTTTATGTTGATCCGTTACATTTGTCTGGTTATGCAAAAATAAGAGCATTTAATCAAATTTTTCACCATAGAAACCTTTTCAGATCAGAATCCTATACCACAGGCTTTTCAGGCATTAAATAATTTTAAGGTTTCTTTTTTCTCTCTGTAGATTTATGCTACTTTTGTTTCTCTATACAACTGCAAAGAAGGTTTTTTTTAATGATACCTATTTTTTAAATACAATAAATTAATTCTTGCCTACATAGCTCTCAGAAAAGTACCAAATTAATAGAATGACTTCAAGGAAAAAAAGGCAGTAAGTAAAAATAGAAATGAAATTTAATAATAGAAATTAAATGAAAAAATCTTAATTTTTTAGAATTCATTTTTGGTTATACTTAAGATTTTTTCTCTTTTTAGCCATTTAACAGCAATAGGTTTCTTAAATGAAAGCATAACCCCATCCTGTGTTACAATTAGAGGATGAAAACCAAACCACGTCTAACAATACTCACATGAAAATTGTGATCTTTACAATCATCCTTTTCATGTTAAAAGTGTCAGTTACAAAATTTTAAAATCCAACAAAAATGTTGGGCGTTTCTCCTACATTAAAAGAAACAACAAAAGAGCTCAAAACTTGGTTTCCAGCTTCATTTCATCTCATCTTCAAACTACTGGTACTTTCTTGAAGCAAAGCAATGCAACTGCAAAGCAAGGCGAAAAAGGACAAGTAGGTACTCCTCCATTCCACTTGGGCTAGCTAAGCTACAGCTGGACTTTGCAGCACAGTACTTATACTGGGATCAGGTTTATCTGCATTAGGATTCTTGATAGTTACAGAATGTAAACAACCTCAGACTGAATTGTCCACAGAACACTTGAAACACTCCTCCCTCTGTGGCTAAGTATGAATAATGTATGCAGGATTATGAAAAAAAAGAAAAAAGAACTGAGCAATAATGCATTTAGAATGTCTTTTATTCTTGGAAACTCATATAGATTATATTGAAATGTGAGGGCATGAGAACATACACTACTGTGGATGTATTATTTTTTCATTTTTTCAGCTTTGAAAAGCATTACGAAGACTTTCAATGTTCAACATAAAGCACAGATAGAATAATACCTCATGTTTTTGTGAAATAAAAAAATGAAAAACAATTCAGTGTTTGCCATGATATATTAAACACTTGTTGGCAGCTATCCAGAATCAGAACATCCCCTTCAGCATTCTGAAAGATTTAAACTTTTCCAATTTTATCATGGAATCACCACATGCTAATAGACTCTCAAAACCACAGAGATCTTAGGACCTCCTATCAAAGGAATATACAAGCATAGAGAAAAAGGTTTTCCTCACACCTGAGCAGTAAACAATGAGATAATACACAGGCAATACTGCTGATACAAATTAATCACTAAGAGTAACATTTTATTGACTTTGAGAGCATGGTACAATTTGTTCAACATCTGAAAGATACGTTGGATAACAAGGTGTCCTTTCAGGGATGGGCTGGGACTGAACTGGATGAGAACAACGTTTGCATTTTTGTGGAGTAGTTATATTTTGTTTAACTTAATTTTTATTTTGTGTATTTTCATCTTGTTGCACTACTGGCAACCAACCTCAGCACTTGAAAAATATATAAAATTAAGTCAGTGGTGGTGGACTGGGGGCAAGTGAGAAGCTGTAATTCCTTTTGCCAGTTGTCTTTCACTAGTAGAAACATTAACTCCTGTTAAATATGCTGCTTAATTTGTAGAGATCATATGTTTTCCATGATAAGCTAATTCCTCTCCAACTAGTAAAATACTGTGAGTCACATTTTTTTACGATGAAAAAAGCTTTAACTCCTCAAAATTTCCTTCCATGGCAAAAGGAGTAACAAAATTTGACTTCAAGAAAAAAACTGTATTGACAGGTTTCTGATATTATTACCTGTTTTAGATAACAGTAATCCAGTTTTAAGAATTTAAACGTACTAAAATGGAGCATAGCTATTTCATCACCCACCCTCTGCATGGATATTAGCTTACACTGAAATACCTAAAGCATAGAAGATTTAGTAATTTTTCTTTCATTTAAGAGAAAAACAGACAAATATTTCCAAAATAAAGACAAATTTTTATATATGGAGCAATAATTGAGACATCTCTCATCAGAAGTTATCCAATTACTTCTTACTTCATGGTAGCGGCAGGTTGGGGCCACTGTTGGTGGTTGTGAATGGGACTCTGCAGATGTCCAGCATATGGACATTTGCACAGAATGGGACATTTGCACAAAATGGGACATTTGAAAATCCAGGAAACTGGATCCTACAATTATTTCAGCTCTCACTCATGAGAAGCTCAAAGGTATGTCTAGACTGCATTCAGAAAGAGTTAAGAACATCAGCTATTAAGCACGCATAAGCAGTAAACATCTAACTAGCCTAAATCCTAAATCAGCTACATCCTGAGCTGATACATTTTATCCAGGTACTTCAGTATACTAAAGGTGGATTTTGAAAAAGGGGTGTAGACACATCACATAATAAAACAGGAATAAGGAAAATGGCAGATAGTGCACTCAAAAAAAGTGGTTTGGAGGAAATAAGGCTTATTAGTTTTTCATTTTTGTGTCTTATTTGAATAAAGCACACACAATAATCTCTAGTATTAAGTATCTCCATACATTTTAAAAATCAGGAGGAGATCACCCAAAGGGGACATTTACTATCGGAATTAAAAAAATGAACCAAGTATAGCAACGTACAAACTGACAAGCTATATTCTGTGACAAGGTTGTTAAAGATGATCTGGGATAATCTCACTGCGATTTAATGCAATCCGTTAATACAGAACTATTATGAGTTAGTAGCAACTTTGCAGTCACAAATCAGCTCAGCTGGTACAGCAAAATTATAGCCAAACTCAGCAGTACCATATTCAGTCATCTTTTCACCATAAGTTATTTTTGCTTTGAGGACTATGTGGACTACACTTAGTGTGTGTGTGCATGCTCATTGCAAAAGAGAAAGAAAAAAGCATAAAGGGTCTTGCCAAAACAGGAGAGAGGACAATTTCAGTATGCAAATAATAATTTTGTTCAATACACCTTAAGAACTGACCAACTGAGGCACTTGCCTGTTAAGGTGGGATCTGCAAGGTCTGAGGTCAGCAGTCTTGCAGACACATTTTTCCCTGAAGAGAAAAAAAATAAAAAATACATATATAGTCTACTTCTGCTGGTGTAATCATGCTTTCAAGTTAACAATACTACAGATGCAAACTCCAGATGCCATTTGGTAAGGGAATATAATGCCGAGTTAATACACCGTGCTATTGGGGAAACATTTTTTTCATGAGCCTGAAACTATGTTGACTGCTTGAAGCAAAAGACAAATTCAGTGGTCTGTATAGCATTACTGTTTGGAATGCCTGACTGGGTAATGCATGACCTCAGTAAAACAATCCCCACAAAAGTTCCACTGAGTTTAAAACATACTTAAAAGCAGAGTTCTAATAAAAAATAGAAGGTGGAACTGGCCTTCAGTTTGGATATTTGACTTTTCTGATCAGACAGGAAAAGAAATACTATCAATTATAATAATGTTTACTGAAATACTGTAATACCTCAGCAAAGAATAAGCAGGCTTTAAATCTCCTAAGCACCCAAAAATTCTATATTGTAGAAAGCAATGCTTCTGAATACAACCCTACATCTAAAATAGGCAGCAAGAGGGAAAGCATTACTGTGTTCACGTCAACAAAATACAGAATGTAAGCTACATGTATGACAACAGGCAAGTGGAAAATGGGTACACAAAAAAAGATGAAGCACAAAACCCTAAACACTGAAATATAACTGTGGAAGCACATGTGCCAAAGTACCAAGCATGCAGCTTAAAGTACACATTAAAACTTTGAAGCGAAAGATACAGTCGTGAAGCTTACATACGTTTTTTAAATTTTTCAACTCATTCCCGAATGGGAAAGCTGGTCTTAAACGGAGAGACCAAATCCGTGACTTAAAAATAAAACGAGCAGGTTGTACAATGAGATCGTAAGGAGGTACCTTACTGGGAAAACCCGAGAATTGTCATACTGGCAAACTTTTACAATACACTTTTAATTTGAAACCAGTTGGCACAAAGGAACACTCAGATATTGTCAATGCTACCAACTTATAAAATGGGAGAACTGTCATGAAACAGGAACAAAGTGCTCATTACTAGATCTGCAACCCTTCCTTTCTTGGTTGTTTATCCAACCCTCAGCTGTTATCAGGGCACTGGGCTTGCCATGTCACACATCATGCCAGCTGCTAACTGATAGGGAACTGTACAGCTTATCATGACATCCGACATTTTCATTGCAAACTTTAGGTGGGCCAAAATTCAACTGACTACTGGGAAGGAGCTTCTTGGACTCTTCAGGCAATCCCTTTGCAGCATAATGGAGAGCTACTCTGTCTAGGGCAGCAAAGGTGCAGAGCTGCTCCAGCCATGAAACACACTTCTTGTCTTCAAGATTTAAAATTAATTGAATTACCTGCTGCTATTGCTAAATAAGAAAGTTTATTTTTATAATAACTAAACTTTACTACACCAGAGTTTTCATGAGAGGAGGTTAATGTCACTTTCTACTCCCCAAAGAGAGGAAAACTTCACAGAGACTTCTCCTTTCACAGGCCAAGCCCTATTACTCACTAGCCAGAGAATGTCTGTGGGTGCAGAGTCCTCACAAGCCTACGCTCCCAAAGCCAGGGACAGCCGGGGCGGGGGGCGCTGCTGCAGGTCCCTCTCGGCCCTGCCTAGGACACCCCCCGGGCAGCTCCCACCCGCCACAAGCCATGGACAAGCACGCACACAGACCGGGGGGCAGACCCCGTGTACGGCTGTGTCTTCCCCCCGCCACGCCTAGGGGAGCCGGCGGCAGAAAAGGCCTGAAACGGACCGCTCCGCGCCTCTCCCCCGCAGAGCCGGTACCCGCTCACTGCCATGCGGCAGTGCAGTCGAACACCGGGCCGGCCCGAAGGGCCGCGGCAGACACCCACCTCGCCGCTCACACCTCCCGCGGCCGACACCCCCAGCCCCCTCCCTCCGGTTCTAACGGGTCAGGGGGACGAGAGCCCCCGGGCTGGGCGGGCCGAGCCCGCACCACCGCCCCTTCCCCTCAGTGCCGTGGGCTGAAGCGCGGCCCCGCGCGGCGGTACCTCAGCAGCTCCCGGCCCGCGCAGGGCCCGCCGCCGACCGCAGCCCCGCCCTCCTCTGCACCCTCCTCCCCGCCAGCGCCGCGCCGCGCCGCGTCGCGTCGCGTCGCGTCTCCCCCGCCAACGCGGCGGCCGCACGGCGCAGGCGCGCGCAGGACGTTAACTGTCAGGTCGCTCCGACGTGTCGACGCCGCGGCCCGGCCTGGGACAGGGCAGGACAGGGCGGGAGGGGGCGCCGGCGGTACCCACCCGTCCGTGGCCGTTATCCCCCCGTTCGGCTGCATCCCGCCATGTTCAACGTGGAGAGCCTGGAGCGGGCCGAGCTCGGGGAGAGTCTCCTCACCTGGGTGAGTGCCGCGGCCGCCGGGCCCCCGCCCGAGCTGGGCCCATGGGAGGGACACGGTTCCGTCCGTCGCCCTCCCCGGTCCGGTCTCCCTCACCTGGCCTCGTGCCGCGGTCCTGCTCCGGCGGGAGAGGACGGCCTCGCCCCGCCTCCCCGGCTCGGACCGCGCCCTGGCGCTCGGGCCAGCTCCAGCCCGGCCGGGGTCGGCGGAGCTCTGACGGAGCCGCCCCGCCTCATCTGGGCGCGCTGAGGGTGTGAGGGGCTGCCCGGCGCGGCGGGACGGACGCTTCCGCCGCCGCAGCCGCCTTGGCTCTGCCCCCCCCCCCCGCATCGGGGGAACAAAGAAACCCACGTCCCGCGGAGCCGCGACCGCCACGGCTGGGGGGCCGGGGCCTGCAGCAGAGCGGCGGAGGATAAGCGCACCTAGGTGCATCCCCCATCACCCCCGTCGTGCGCCCGGGCTCGGCGGCCTTCGTGCAGCTCTCTGCTCTGATCCCCCCACCCGTGCCCTGGTGTGGCTCCGGTGTGTCAGGCCGCCTTTCTCTAACTTGCCTGCTGGCTCGACAGGCTTGCTTACCAGAAACTTTCTTTTGTGTGTTGCTTTCCCGTTATTTTTAAGTAGTGCTCGAGCCTCAAGTGACAAAATTCACCTGTGAAAATAATATACTGTCAACCTAAGAGTTGCCCTTTTCGATTTTAATGTTCGGAGTTTGGTCCATAAACATCTTGAGGTTGTGCTGTCAGAGAGCTGTCAAAATGTGGTAGACATGGAAGCTGGCTTTGCAGCTGCTCTGCAATTTGAGCAATGAATGTAACATAGCCGTGAAACTTGTAGTTCTGTAACAACTGATCTATTGGTATGACTTGTTTTGGTTTGGGGAATGTTTGGTGGTGTTTTCTTTCTCCTTCCATGAGCAGAATTGTCAAGAAAATATCCAGTATATAAAATTCTGGGGATTGTTGAAGAGAAATGGAGATTTTTGTCTTTTAGACAAAAAAGTTTAGTCTGTGCAAGGCCAGAGCTGGCTAAAGCTGTGATGGTAGTCAGTAAGTTACTGGGGAATGACAGGTTAGGTTTCTCTGTGAAAGTCACAAGGGGATGAGTAAGGGAAATTCAGTGATTGCTGGAGGTGAGCAGGACTTTGGAAACTGTAGAAAGTGGAGTTTTTTGGGGAGGGTGTGCTCCAGTGCCTCATACAGGTCTGGAATAAGAACCCAGTTTCTCTTTCCTTCGCATTTCTGCCAGTCTTTGCACATTTCTTGCAGTTGGCCGCTTGTCGTGCTTTTGGTTTCATATATTTTCTTTTTCAGGTGTTGGCAGTGAAAGTTACCTTCTGACAGAGTTCAAGAGGAAGTTGAATCCTGGCAAAGAAAGGCTGAGGGGCCCAGTGCTAGGAGAAAGAAGGCTTACTGGTGGGGAAGTGATGGGGGGAGATCTGTTTCGATATGCTGCTAGTTTTCGTGTGCTTTTGCTCTAGTTGCCTTAGTTATGCTTTTCTTGTGCTCTCTGGCAGTTGTGCCAATGGGGGAAGAATAAGCCTGTAGCTTACCTAGCAAGTAGTCACAGTCCCCAGGCATTCCCAGCTCCTTGGATTTCGAAGTAACTAACAGATTAGCTCGCTCTTTTGTGGTGAGACTACCTTATTCATATGTAAACTGCTGCAGAATGAAAGAGATGGGATTTTCTTTTGTATGGTATTGGCCTGTGACTTGAGTGATTTGAACTGTTGGTCCTACCCACCAATTGCAGCTTGGACAAAATTGTCAATGACTTGAGAATTTTTTATTGAAGTGCAACAAATGTACAGAACTCTGTGATAAGTCTGACAAGAAATTTAAAAATAGTCCAATATTCTGTTACTTAAGTATGCCATTCAGGTTTGGTTTTGAGGGGTTAATACTTCAATAAAGTTTCCTTTTAGAACTTCATAAGGTTAAGGTGATTGCTAGCCAGCAAGGGAAATCACAAAATGCATCCAGAAGGCAGTGGTGACTTCGTTGGTCCCCAAAACAATTATTTTTACAGCCCAATATAGTACAAAGCAGTGGTTTATATATGTTCAAAAGGATAATTTTGTCAACATCGTGTTCAAATGTGGTGGTGGTTGGATGAGTCTTTCTGGAAAATAGGAGTCTTCAGTTCTTGTTTGTGGAGATGAAGAGAACAAGTTTATCTACATGAAGTCTATTCAGTGTTAGTGAAGATCTCCACTGATTTTCTTGCATTAAACAACATCAGCAAAGCAGTGGAAAGAACTAGTGATTTTTTTGTTGTTTTTTTTTTTCCCTTGCCAAGGTTGGTAGTTGAGGCAGTTGATTTGTTGAGTAGCAAACTTTATTGTTACCCTTGAAAATCATCTGCATTTTCTTAGAAAAACTAAACCATTGAAAAAAAAATTACATTGACACTAAAAGCTGTGCTGGAAAAGTAGGCATAAAAATGGAAAGCTTAGAGAGAGAAATCACAGCAACAGCAAAAGTCTTGTGGTGCTGGCCATATGTAAAAGTTATTACTCAGTCATATGGTGGTGTTTGAGCAGTAGTTAGTATTTATAATCTTCAGTCCTGAAACTGTACCTATCAAGTGGAGTCTTGTCCTGTCTGCAGTAATGGTCCATGGGGATCCCTTTGCATTTCTAGCCTTTGCACACCCACAGATACTGACCTAATCAAGAAACTAGCTGTGTCTTTTTTTTCTTTTTTTTTTTTTTAATCAGAAATATTACAAAATATTTCTTAAACAGCATTAAAATTAGTCAACGTGTTTCTTAGGTGAATGTGTGGAGTTACTGGTTATTTTTACAATTTCAGTATATCTCTGTGAGTGTGACTTTGAAACAGACTCAGTAAAAGAATGAAGAAAGGTAGTTTCAGTTTATTCCAGGATACATGGAACTTGCAAAAGAACCAATGAAGTTTTTTAGTCCTCAGTGAAACTGTATGAATAAAATGCATTTTTGCCTGGTTTTCTCTGGTCTCATAATGATTCTTGGTAAACCGTTCATGTAGGTGGAAGCAGAGAGCTATCTTGATTGTAGTTTATGCATACCTGGGATGGACAGTCTTTTCCATAATGCCAGAGAAGCTGGCTTTTCTTAAGAACTGGTTTAACCTCCCAGGTTGCTTGCTTCATATTCATATGGAAGTACTTGAACTGGTTTCTCTGTGGTGTAAGTAGGGTAGATAAGGCTTTCTGCAAATCTGAGAACCTGTTCAGCTTAAACTGAATGTTTGCTTGGGTGGATGCAGGGTGCAATGAAACTGTTCTTCCCTCTGCAAACTCATTATTTTAATGAATGAGAATATCCCTCAAGCCTTTTACCTTGCATTCCTTTTCTGGTGTCTTTAAGCTGGGGCATGTTGCTTACGTGTGAATATGTTCTGTTTTATTCTTTAGTAATTTCACCAACGCTTCGTTTTTGGTGTTACTCTGCAGTTTGGGGGTTTAATTCTCAGGTTTTTTATCTGTATGAGAACATTATCAAATGTGTTCCTAAATAATTTTTGTTAAGGATTTTAAACAGCTGGGAGACCTTTTGCTTCCTACCACTTCAGCCCTGACCATGATGTTATTTTGAGGCAGCCAGGGTAGTGGCAGCTCAAGGGGAACCGAGTGAAGGACTGGAACCCAGTTACTGACATCTCAAAGTTGGTTTTCATGCTTTAGCAAGGTTTGTAGCCTACTGTAATTGCAGAACTATTACTCTACCAGAAATCTCCCAGAAACCTCTCTTGAGACTATTCTAGGCACTGTGGTGTAGCTATCCAAACTGCACGGCAGCCAAAGCAGTTTGGAAAAATGTGGCTGTGAGGTAAACCTGCAATGATATTAGAATCGTTTCAGCGTATCAAATACAGATTCACGCCATCTTTCTGTTTAAAGTTTATGACTCATCCAGATACGAACACACAGATTATATTTTTTTATTATTATTTGTATGTAGTGTCAGGAATGTTTTTAACTTGGCTACATCACCGAGTCATTTCATAAAACGGAGAGCTGACAAATGTGCATGTGGCAGTTAAGCTTTAGTATGTCTGTAGCTGAAATCAGTGTTATGGTTACAGCAACACTGTATGCTATGTAATCTGTGAAATTTTCTTCAACATAGAGCTAAAATGTGATGCTCAAAAGCTGAAAAGGTTGCTTAGCATTGGTGTGTAAACAGCAGGATTCCTCAAAGAGGTCACTGCTGCCTGGTTATACGCAGTAATCACTATGGAGATGTCATGAACTTTCATTCATTATGATATGTATCTCTTATTTTGCCATGTACTGCCTCTGCCAAGCTGCATCTTGCCTGTTTTCTTTCTTTTCCAGCCCTCAAGGCCAAATATAGTTTCTGTGGTAGACATATTGAAACTTTTATAAGTGAGAATTTTATAAACACGTACAAGGCTGGTTTTTTTTTGCACCCTCCATTTTAAAAGCACTCTGTCCATTTATATGGCTTTTCTCATTTTTGGCTGAAAAATCTTCTTAGTACACAGTGTATCTCTGTGGTGGCTTGTCCCAAACTGGAATGATTTGCATGTGTTATTTGAGATACACAGACCATGTGAGCAAGTGCTGCTTGTAAGTGCTTTGTAGGCACCCTCCTTGGAGAGAATAAAATCTGCTGGCGTTTACTAGGAAAGCTGTATTTTCCCTTACGGTCCAATTACCTCCTTTTTAGAGTAAGTTGTCTTGATTTATATGCATTTATGATTTTAAGTACTCTTCTGGTTTCTTTTACATGCCAAGATTGTAGGAGACTTGCTAAGCCTGTTTAAATTCTTTCCTCATTCAATCCTTGATCACTGACCACAAAGTTGTAGGGTTTCATTTTCTTCTGATGATATCATCACATCACCATCTCTTACCTCTTGAAGAAAACATGGAATTTCAGGAGTGGTTGATTATGCTGGTGATGACAGCAGGTCATGAAGATAGTTCTGTTTGAATGTGTTTCAGTTCAGAGAGACAGGGGAAAACACTGAGCTTGCCAGCTTGGGGCATGGATT